CAGTCCTTAGAAGACAGTTGACTCTACAAACGCTGAAAATTGCGAAAAAATCCCAGAAAATCCTAATTTTTGCCAGCCGACTGAACTTAGGGCTCGAAGTGAGTTTTGTCAGCCATGATACCCTCTGCTTTAAAAATCCATAACTCCCCAACTGGGGCAAGTAGCAACTTGAAACGTTCCCAGTGTTTAGAAGACAGTTGACTCTACAAGCGCTGAAATTTTCACGAAAATCCCTCAAAACCCTGATTTTTGCCCGCCGAGTGAACTTTGGCCTCGAAATAGAGTGTTGCCAGCCAGCTGCGCCCTCTTGTTTCAAACCCCCACAGCTCCCCAACCAGGACAAGTTCCAGCGACACTTGACCTTTGACACTTGAACTATTAATGAAAAATTAACTCAGAATATTTTCTGCAGGCAAACACATGTCGATGGTGCATCCGGAAAACATGCAGCTGAAGCGCAACGCGCAGTTCAAAGTGACCGAAAACTACGCATGCTCGCTGTGCCCGTTCAGTGTCAAATCGCTGGACTTGTTGCGATCGCATCACCTGTCCGCGCACGGCAACACCGAAGGCATGAAAGGTAGGCGTGGCCTGGCGACGGCGCCCCGATCTGATTGGTTGCTTGCAGGTCCCATTGTGCTGAACCACGCCTTCGGTGAGGAGTTTGCGCGCAAAGAGCCGCGCATCCTCAAGCGGCTCGAGTACACGTGCGACATGTGCGCCTACACGACCAAGGACAAGTCGAACCTGCGCAAGCATTTGTTCACGCATGGCACCAAGCCGCTCAAGTGTCAGTACTGTTCCTATAAGTGCGTGTCGCCCTATCAGCTGCGCAGACACCAGAAGCAGAAGCACGCCAAACATATGGATGCGCGGGTGAGTGACACACTGGATGACAATTGACAGACCGAGTTCCGGTTTTAATCGGGGATTTTCAGCCGAGGAACCAGCCGTACGCGTTGCCGGATTTCGTCAAAGACAAGGACGAGACGATGGACAAGTTCAAGATCACACTGGAAACGATCAAGCGGGAAATTGAGAAGGAGCTGAAGACCTAAAGCGGGCCGGAGTCCTTCTCCCTCGCCCAATCTAGTCGAGACTCTGCGTGTATGAGAGAGTTGAACCAATGAGGAGGAGGAGGAGTAACCAACCAAAGAGGGCGCGCCTGCGCAAAGCCGCAGCCGTTCAATTGTACATAGGGGCTAACTGGCCCTGTTAAGGTGGTGATCAGTTTAGGCTTTTAATGATCCTCATTTGATTTTTGCGTCGTGATTAGTGAGTGCCATTTTAATTTTCTTTAATTTATTTCTGTGATATTTTACTACTACAATAGTCACGCCAGTACAATAGACTTTTTGTGTAATTATTCGTGAGGTGTTTTTTTGGGGCGGGGTTGCGCTTGAAAGGCCCGGGAGTGGCAATGCCGCACGCCACTGGCTGGGGATTGAAACTAATTTTCCTGATGGTGGCCTTGCGGTTCGAAATCCCGGGTTTTCAAGCACGCCATTGGGTTCAGGACCATTTTTTGCTGGGGAAGCACGCATTTTTGCGGGGTTTCTCGGGATTTTTGCGCCAAAATCCGCGAAAAACCTTAAGCACTGACAGCTCTCATGGCCAACACAAGATTGGGTTTAGGGCCCCATTGGGGGCCAGCCTGCCCCCCTTTTTGCGATTAACCGGTCAGGGCAGGCCCTAGCCCCATCGGGCCTTGCCCCTTGGGGCTTCGCCCCCCTCAGGGGCGCCATTTACTCTATAGAAACTTCGCTGGATCCTAAATAAATCGCTTTTGGCCCTTGGATTATTGGCTAAAATGGCGCAACTGGGCCCTGCCGGGGCTGATGGCCCAGGGGCGCGCCCCTGGGGGCACATTTTCTTGTGGGGAAATTCAAAAATTTATTTATTTAGATAAAAATCCCGGTACACGCCGCTGGTCGGGCTGTCGTTGGCATGTCAAGGTGACGGATCGGGCGTTCGGCTGCACTCGGCGACCAATCAGATCGCGCCGGCGACCCGAAGGGTCGCACGGGCAGGCCCGAGTTCAGTCGCTTCTTGACGGTGGTGGAGTGCGGCCGGTCGGTTTTGTGCTCCTGGTGAATGCGTAGTTTACTGTGCAAAATGGCGATGGAACTGTGATGACATAACCACATTTTGGCGAGTTGACAGCATCGGACGACGTCCGGTGGGCACCAATAAGGCAAGAAATATTTTCAATTCGCCTGTCCAACGACTACTTTTGATATTCGTGGTCAGTCGTTGGTGTTTCGCTTGATATTAAATTTTTGCGTTCATTAACGGGCTGCAGCGTGCACTCACAGGTTCCCATGAACGTCCATTATAGTATCGAATGCAACGGAATGATTTTAGTTTTATTCACTTTTTGCGGTGATTCGACTTGAATGTTTCGAACTTTCTCGCCCATCCATCTTCAAGGAACTTGCCATGCCAACCCAATGCGCTGAATTGATAGGATCATTATGCGTGTTTCGTCTGGATGGTTTTTGTTCAAATGTGTTGTGCTTGTATCCAGTTTTCGCACTTTTGTCGCACGCTGTTGGCAACGCCGCTCCGGGACGGGCGCCCACGTCAGTTTCATCCAGGCGTCGCGACGCCCGCCATCCAAACTGGACGCTCAATTTCCAGGTGAGAAAACGCACTGCGTGGCCAACTGGGCATTTCCTTCCTGGCCATTCAGGCGCGATTCGACACGCCAATCTGTACAAAACCCGGCCTTGATCAAGCGTTTCCGTTCGCAAGCCCCCGACAGGCCGCCGGAACACCATGAGACGGAGGCGGCCCGTTCCCTGATCCCCAACCAGTCCACCGCTGGTAGGCCGAGCAGCCGCCCGTCCAGAGCGTCCAGTGGCCGCCCATCCACCAGCGCCGTGCCAAGTAAGTCCCGATTCACGCTTGAAACTGTACCGATTGCTTGGAAAAACCCACGCTGTCCACTAGTCGGGTCAGTGGCAAAGCCCCATTTTTCGTGCGCCGATCCACTGGGCCCCCCACGGCCACTGTCACTGTGTGACAGTTGAATTGAGGTTAACTTGGGTGGTTGAGTGGTAGTTGCAGTGCCTTGTTTTGATGCGTTTAAAGTGGCATAGGGAGCCCCAAATGCACCCAGTAAGTCTGCAATTCATTCAGTAGTTTATCAGCTCGAGCCGGTAGATAATTGCGCTCTGTTTGTGTTTGTCAAATGAGCGCCAAGGCTAAACATGCAAATCTGGTGCTCGTCTGCGTGCTGTTGATTTGGTGATTAGAGGCTAATCTCGGGGCTTTGCTACTGGTTGCGGTGATTAAGTCGGGGATTTGTGGGGCGCGAGCGGCGCCTGCGGCGGCCCCGATTTCGACTCGCCTGATAATTGGGCGTTTGTTGTTGTTTTTGTAGAGTTTTGCGAACTGATGTATGTGTGGAGCACCAGTGCTGTTGGGTTAGACCTTAGCAAGGCGGCGCAAAAGGGGACTGCGGCCGAGAATAGCCAGCTGTATAACCGGGGCCATAGTAAGGTCAGTCTGCTAGATTAGGGCTGAGCGTGGTGTAAGTGTGGAGGCTTCGCCCCTGGGGGTTGTTTCCATTTGGCCCGGCCAGTAAAGTGGTTTTAGGCCAATTGATGAAGTTTTGCACAAAGTGGGGCCTTTGCGAGCCCTGGAGCACCCGCATCGTTGCAATGGTGCATTTTAGTGTTCAAGTGCGCACAACT